CCTACGTCCACTCCTTGGAGGCACCCTCCAAGTATTGCACTATAAAACATGACTCTCCTTTAGCCCCCACAGCTAGGCGGACAAGCCCTCACAAGAAACTCCTTTTTGCCACCCCGGCAAGGCAGAGAACCCACCTCCTTTTGCTTCCTCCTGAAGCTGGCAGAGAACCACAACCAAAAGCAAAACTCCTTACCTCTACCGACCCTTCCACGGACGAGAAACTCCAGACGAAAGACAAGCAGAGCGATCCTTGAGCAACCCTTGTGAATCCCCTCACAAGCTCCCCCTCACAAGATCCTCTCTCTCTCCCTCTCTCTCTTTCTCTCCTCAAGGTCTTCTCAGGTCAAGGCAGCAGCCAAAGGTCTCTTAAAAAAGTTGAAGAAGAGCTCTTTAAATAGAAGAGCTCAAGAGGAGCTCATTAATTGCAAGTAGCCGACTTTATCGTCCAGGCCGATATGGACATCAGCCTGGCCGATCAGTACAAAACTCAGAAGATCGGATTGCATGCTCCAAGGCTCCTCCATTTTTTCCTTCATTGCCAGCCACTTCAAATTAGAAAGCACAGAGTTTACCAACAATGATGATATCTTATCCAAACTAGTTGAGCCTTATTTACAACCAAGTGGACATGATTAACTTCATCGGGAATGAAAACAAGGATTTTTTCTTGCTGATCCAAGAGCACAATTTTTACTAGCAATATCTCGAGGAGCTGATCTTGATGATGCTGCTAGGAGGGATTTTTCTTGCTATACAAGAGCCCGATTTCCATATATGAGATTGCTGGAGCTAAGCTCAGGAACACCGCTAGCGGCAAGGATGAAGACTATATTCTCAATACCGTGAAGCATAGATAAAGTCAATGAATTATATTTAATACTTTATTTATTTCTTTATTTAGATTTATAAAAAATTTATCATTATTTTGAATACTACTTTAAAAACCTTTTAATTAAATTTAAAGATATTTAAGTTAATAGTGAGTGGTACCATTGTTTCGTGTGCAGGGTGGCATGATTTATTTTAAATTGTAAATTTCAATGTAAAAGTTGATTTAAGAATATATAAATTCTAATGAAAATAATTTACTAACATTTAAAATTTTACAAAGAGAAAAACATTAAAACAAAATAATGGAGGAGCTATCAAAGGAAGATGTCTAAACTAAATTCAATAATTTATTAATTTATACCCCCACATAAAAAAAATCCTAGCTCCACCCCTACAACCAAACAAAAAATTCACAAGCTCCTTTATCAGTAGGGCACTAGGGCTGTAGGGCAATATAAAATTAAATAAAAATTAGTTGGAATTATAATATTCTATTAAAGGTTATGAATTTGATTTATACTAACCAGGGATGTTAAAGTGTTTGGACATGTCTGGCTAATAAAAATTAAAGATACATAATTAAAACGAGTTAAGACCAAAGCATGCGCATAAAAGTGCATTAAGTTGGCCCCCATATAACAATGGTTACAATAAAAAGACCAAACAGCTTGTTCGCCTTCCAAATAAACATTTTTATTGGAATTATTAATGTTGTGTAAATTAAACAGAATGAGACAATAATTTGTCATCTGTTTAGTTTCAAATGTTTGTGCACTAGAAGCCTTACAATTACCGGTTCAATTGAGCTGAAACTTACGAAATTAAGTGAAATAAGAAGAGATTTTATATTAATTGATGTTTCTTTTTTCTTTTGGCCATTTAAAGAAGACTAAAAGCATAACAGGAAATTAAACTAAGTTTTTAAACTATAGATATTCACATGACTCAGGAAATCAAACTAATTTTTTTAATTCTCCACTGGATTCTAGTTCATATTTAGTGCATAAAATGGAATGAAGTTGTGCATTTAAAACTCTATCCTGTTTCATATTTTCAAGATTAAAATACAAGCAACCTACTGCTAGTTTTTTTATGCTCGATGATGGAATATGAAACTCTAGGAAAAAGTAAACCACTTCCATCAAAAAAATAAGAAATTAATCATTACAAAACTGTAGCTTTCATCTAGCTTCTCATGTTTATCTATTTGCACCATCTACCCAATGGCGACGCACAATTAACTTAGATAATAAATCTCGCATTTCATCTGGATTTTGCACATTCAAAATTATTCTTTGATATCAGAAACATAAGCTATGGACAAAATGGTTTCTTTCGTAGAGGAAATCCATGTAGCATACTAGCTGCCATGAAACCTAATGCGAACAACCAAAAAGCCCTAAATAACAGTGAAAAAGAAGCGATTGGGGAAAGTGAGGTGTTGGTGAAGATAACAAACCAGGATGTGAGTTTTTTCGATCGGCTGCCGAGGGAGATTGATGAAGAAAAGGATACAAAAAAACCTTTCGACGAAAAATGCCAGAAGATGGGGAAGGAAAGGAACAAAAAACAAAGGGAAGTTTTATTGAACATATAAATTTAGAAAATCTGTCACGTGACCAGTTGGCACGTGGTAGGACTGGATGGCGGAAGTAAATAATGTGGGACCCACAGGCTGGGAGATTTTTTTTTTTTTTTTTCGCTGATTATTAATGCTACTTGGCTACAGAATGATTTAATTGAAATGCTTCGAAGTGATTTTTTAATAAAAAAAATTTAGTTTAAAAATTTTTGTATTAAAAAATCTGTTTTAAAAAGCAGTAAAAAATTATGTGAAATGGAGACTAATTATTTGATATAAGAGATATTAATTTTAAATAATTGTAAATAAATTGATTTGCTATTTATTTTAGGAATTATGAAAACTAATTATAATTTAATTTATTTGTTTTAGTGAATTTTCAATGAATTTATTACCATATTATTTTTAGAATATTTAGAATGTTTAAGCCATGTTAATTTGCTACTACTATAGCATTTAGATGACTAACCAATGATAGAAAGAGAAATCATTTTCAATAAAATCGCTAGAAATCTGTGGGATCTTTCTATAGGGAGGAAAAATACCCTTATATGCCTAACTATAATTTTTTTTCCTTCTAAAAGAAGAGTGAAAAGTTATATATCTATGTTGACTTCAGTGATATAAATAAGGCATGTGTTAAGGTTGAACTTTTCTTACTTATATATAATCTAATGATTAATAATAGCTTTTATAACAACATAATATTCTTCATGATAATTATAACCAAATCAAGATGACCTCTGAAGAAAAGTGATTTATTTATTTTTGAACAATCATAATCATATGCCGCTATAGGATGATACCCTTCATCCATATATCATCCATAAGCAACTTGAATGTTGCATTGATGATTCAATTATATCAAGAATAATGCCTAAGATGGGCACTTATATGATCTTATAATTATGTTTGAACACCTTAGACACTACAACCTCAAGTAGAATCTCCTAAAGTGACATTTGACATTTCTTATGAGAAATTCTTTGGATTTATAGTTATATCATATTGATCCCATTTATTATTAGATATCTATTGATTGGAAATAAACATACAAGAAAATAATTGGGTGATTAGGTTTGGTGAAGATTCATGGAGGAAGGCGGGCCGTCTGGGTTTGGCGGGTTTTGAGAGTGGGTAGGGGCTGATAGGAGGGGCGTCCAAGGCATAGAAAGAAGGGGATAAATATATAGTAAATGCGCCAAATAATTTAATCCATCAGTGAGCTTCATATATTTTAAATTTATATTAAGATTAAGGGTATGTTCGCGTACAATTTTTTTGGTGCTTTATTTTTCAAATAAAAACTATAATTTTAATTGGCTAGTCTGCTCTTGTTTATTTCTCATTGTTTTTTAAAATTTTTTGTGATGAAAAACTAATTTTTACAACTAGAATAATAAAATTATTTTCCACACGTCAACTTTATAAATAAACTTCATAAAAAGCCTTAGTTGTCCCAAACAAACTCTAAGGCGCTATTTGGCAACAAGATTTATGCATAATCAGTCAAACAGGATTAATTGGAGCGTCGGATACATCTCACGGCAAAATAAATCCTATGTTTAACGCTTTTTAGACGTAAATCCCGGATTTACTAAATCACGTAGTTCGACGAATTTATAGGATTTGGCTAAAGAAGTGCGCGAAAGGGATAAAGAATGTTACCTTTGCACCGAGTAAGCTCCCGTAATGACTTCCGATCCGACATCATCAAAGGAGGTAAAGAAGCATCTATAGCGACTCTTCCAACACACTACTTCCTGCGTAGCCTTTGGACTTCACATAAAGCACACAAGGTTGAATCAGGCATGAAGAAATGAAGAAGATGAAAACCAACCCCTAGATTAATTAAATAATTAGTAATTGAAAATTAAATAATTAAATTTAATTAAATAATACTTTAAATTTAATTAAATTATTAATAGAATATTAGTTAAATAATTATTTATTTCAAAATATAATGAAATAATTAATGAGATAACTATTAATATAATTATATATCAAATACTTATTAAATTAATATCAAATTAAATAACTTAATAAATAGTACTATAAATAATAATTAAATTATTTAATAATTAAGGTAAATTCTAATTAAATTCATCATCATTATAACTTATTGACTTTAATTAAAATTAATATATAATTTATACTTAACATACAATTAAATTTATAATCAAATTTAATTTTAAAAAAAACCAATCACCTTAACTTTTGGATTATATTCCCACAAAATTTAACAGCTATTTTACAAAACAATTTTCAGGATTTAACATGCCCAGAATTTACTAAATCCTATTAATATCATACTTGATATTTGAATCCTCTAAGATTTTATTTGACTATTTAACTATGCTATTTTTGCTTTTAAAAGCTCATTTTTCAACAGTAATTTTAAAAATAATTTCTTAAAAATAAAATTTTAAATGTAAGAAAAAAGCTATTTTTCAGACAATTTATTTTACTAATTACTTTTCTTACTGTAAAAATAATAAAAAATTATTCCAAATAAAACTTAAATCACAAGACAAATTCATTAATTATTAATTATGATTAATGACAAGCAATATAACATTATTAATCATAATTAGAAGTGATCCCCAATATTTATTCATCCACCAGTCTTGCATAACCTTATTGATAAAAAAACTCAAATTTTACAAACCCTACCATCCAAATACACAGCAAAAGTGTTACAACGGTAACCAACTCAACTAGTTGGATCACAAATGGTAAACAAATTGCACACAGAAGCTCAAATAATAGAACATGGACGAGCCATACAATAATAAAATTTTTAAAAGCAGAAACTGTAGCAAATTATGCCCAAGGATAGCAGCACTAGGACAAAACAGGTGGAGCCAAATCCAATGCCTTCAGTATGAAAGCATAAGTAAATGCATCTTCCTGCAGCTTCTCAAATCTACAGCCACCAAGAAAAAGGCATAATTAATCTTTAAGATGAACCTTGAAAGGAACCAAAACTGAGACCAAGAATTGCACGTTTTGGGCTTTCACAAACAGAAGTGAAAGAAAGATTTAAAATGTAAGAACTGCCAAAAAGTTAAAATCATGAAATTATTTTGTGCGGACGCCGAACGCAACTCTACATTCAGAGACCAACTAGAATGAGTCACGTCAGCAATACCGAGCACGGTATCGAGCGGTACCGAGCCGTGATACTGACATGGCTCATTCTAGTTGGTCTCAGGACAGCGTTCGGCGTCCGCACAAAATAATTTCTGAAACAGCTCTCCTTACAGCATTCGACGTCCACACATAATAATTGCTGAATCATTCCTCCAAAATTATAAGATAACCGTTGAATTAAAATGTGCGGTCATCCGAAGCACATTTTTTGTTACTTCTAAGGACTTCAAATTAGAAAATATTTTTTGAGAAATAATAAGTTTATTCCATTCCATCATTTAATTAGATGTAGAGAAATCGGTAGGAATTTTGATGATAAAACTCAAAATTAATGAATATTCAATCATCATTTTATAAAACATATATTCTATCAACAAGTAACAAAATGAACCCCTAGTAATTGTATACACAAGAATGTGCATATAGTAAAGTTCTAAGCATTTTATTCAATCAATAGGAATGAAAAGTATCCCGTTCAAAAGGAAAACAATTTACCTTCCTGATTTTGAGAAGTGTCCAGCACCAAGTTCACATTTAAGTAATAGTACATTATCATCAGTCTTTGTTGCTCTCAATTTAGCTACAAATTTAGCCGGTTCGGAGTACAAAACTCGGGGATCTGTCGCATCATTATAAAAAACTAAGATAAAGCTACAACGAACTAATGCAGCGTTATATTGATAATGAAATGTTAAGCATACCATTCAAACCAGCAGTAACAAGAATATTGGGGTAATTTTGCGCCCTTACCTACAAATAGCACAGATGCTATTAATTCAGAGACAGTAACTTGAATTTTATGTAGTTCAAGAGAGACATTCATACATCTTGTAGCATTGAAGCAGGTTAATGAAGTTAGATTTATAGGAAACTATGCAGAGATTGAGTAAAGAAGTAAAGTTAGTCCAAAAAGGTACTTGGGCAGTAACAAACCATGCACAATGAGAATAATGAAATGTATAACAAATACGAGAACTTTTGCAGTTCAAGCAAGCGAGGCTTCGTTTGGGACGGCTTTCTTCCTGTTTCTTAAAGTGGCTTTCTAGTACAAAAATTAAAAAAATTTGTACTAAAAAGCCGCTTTAAGAAGCAGGAAGAAAGTCGTACTGGGGTATTAACAAGCTACAAGTAGTCATGATCTATGATAGCAGCCTGCATACCAACTGCTAAGACATGTTGGAGTGTTGGATTTAATCCCACACAAGGCAGTTTAAAAAATATGTTAGCATAGAAATGTGAAAAATTGGTGGCCAGCCAAAAAGGAACAAGATCTTTAAAAGATTACTAGAAGCAGCTAGAAAGTATTAGAGGGAACAAGATCATAATTTCTAGTTAAATTTATAGTTAATGAATCAATGTTTGTCATAAAAGTTTTATAAAGGGAATCATCAATAAAAAGTTATAGAAGTAAACAGACACAACAACCAGATAAAATCATTGAACTTGTCTTCAAAAATCTTACACGCACTCACATTATCAACTGGAGAATAGGATTTCATGTAATAATAGTATTCTTCCTTCCGAGGATCGCCCCATTCCTACATCAAGAATTGAAAATAATAAGCTTTTGTACCAAACTCATTTAATTTGAATAGATGTACTGGGGATTAATATTCTTGCTTGGACAATATTTTACATTCCAATGAAAAAAAATTCAACAAATTAGCAAAAAATGAGAAAATGAGGTTAACATCTCCCAATGAATTGTTTTCTTATCCTTGTGAGAGGAAGAAAATCTAAGAAAATTTAACCAGCATTAGGAAAGCCAGAAGGAAATAATAGAACATGATTCGTCACTCCATGGCCTCCTAAGAACTCAATAACCTAACAAAAGCATCTAATGGGGTTGACAGCCAAATCATGAATCTAACTTGGAAAGTAAGGCTTTGTTTGGGACGGCTTTCCTTCTGCTTCTTTAAACAAATTTTTAGTTCAAAATTTTTAATTTTTTAACTAGAAAGCTGCTTCAAGAAGCAGAAAGAAAGCCATCCCAAACAAAGCCTAAATATATTGCATTAGATATGTGGAGGAATTTTGTAAGAAAAATGACCTCCCACTCTGATGTAGTCAATGGAATTGTTGGATCAAGCATTGTTGTCAGCACATCAACAAATGGAACCCCTGCAACAGCTGCCTTGAACAAATCAGGGCGCATATTTAGGACAGCACCAATCAATAAGCCTCCAGCACTTCTCCCATGGATGCATAGCATTTCTTTTGAGCAATATTTATTCTCTATCAAATACTCTGCACAGGCAATGAAATCAGTAAAAGTATTTCTTTTCTTCAGCAACTTCCCATCTTCATACCACTTTCTTCCCATTTCACCACCTCCACGAATGTGAGCAATTGCGTATACAAAGCCCCTATCCACCAAAGACAATCTTGACGCCTTGAAACTGGGATCTATGCATGCCTGTCAACAAAAGAAACCATTAAACAATGCAAAATATGGTTAGGTTTCTAGTCAATTTTACGGCTTAAACACGTTTCTCTAGCAAAAGAAGTGGCTAATGCAGCAAAACAATATGAATCATGCAAGCCAAAATATTTCTTTTTCACTTCAAAGGCTGAACTTGGGATTGTAGTTCACCCAAGAAAATTTCCTTTGCAGGATTAGGTAACTCCCCTAGCAGAACTGTCATATGACTTCATATCCTGCAACACAGTGGAAAACGAAAGAGGTGTCTGTTGGCATGCTTCCAGAGTACAATAACTTCAGCTTTAGCAGGAAGCCACATTCCAGCCCCTTTCTCAATCATCAACATCACTCTTGATTCATAGGCAATTATAGGAGACAATGACATAGTGATTTACTCACAATCATATACGAATAATGCAGCCGACAAGAAATGAAAGGAAGAAGGCTATGGTGAAAGTAGTCTACCTACAATCAACAATCGCTAGCTGACAAGCAAATGCACCATCCCGTTTGTGAATGATGATGGCGGACAAGCGGTGAAAGTAATAATCTCCCATCAATCAAGTTCAATCGGCTTGCATATGTACATGATAGTCCCCTATGAACACAAAGCCAACATGCATGAGAAAGTTGACGATAAATGTAATTCAACCGGTGTCCAACATTAAATCAGATAAGTTCACTGATTTGAATGCAAGCGAAGATGGTTGATATGACCTATTTGTGGATAACAACAGTAGGTATATTGTGAGTACAACAAATCCCCGACGGACATAAATACATACATCACTTGCAAACAACTATAGGAAGCCCGTCAAGCTACACGGTGTCATATCACTCCTGCAGTCATCTACCATTCAATGCCATGCAAAGACACTTATCTTCTGCAAGCAGGGATGACCGATTTGGAACATATGCAAGTACCTACAAACCACTATAGGAAACCCCATCAAACATATTATGTGTTGTTAACAAGAAAATACATGAGAACTATAATTTATGCAAGTACCAACAAGTAGTGATTGAGAACTTGAGGTGTATGCGACTTCTTGTCTGTGGAAAATGACAGACCTGTAGCGACACTTGCGAATAATAGTAGACGACCCATTGTGCTATAACCCCCAATTACGGCATTAACCACGTGAAATTGAATGGTTTTATTAATGATTCTATATAATCAAAGAATGAGCAGTTGAAGAATAAAAGATATCTCATTCTATCATCTCTTAATAAATAATTGAGGCTACCAAAAATATGACGCGCTATTTGGGCGAAAATCCAGAGGGCAAGGCTCGCAGCCCGGTGTCCTACATATGCATTATAAATACATAGAACGGGTCTCTCAAATACACTATTTTGGAGACGTAGGAGAAGCTCCTATGTACCATATGCATGTCAGATACTAGAATGTCGTTGAGACATCGAAGATGACCTTACACTCTGTCATGTCCATGCTTCGAGGAGACTACCTTGTGATGAGTCGAAGAAAAAGCAATCTAACGATGCACTAGCCGAGCCTCTGGTCTCACTAGATGACATCTACACAAAACGACATCATGTCGTTTGGACGTTCTTAACAAGTCTAATCAAGGATCGATTGCTTCATGGATATGATATCCCTAAGAATAAGAAAAGGGAGCCTATATCATAATAATGAAGTACCTCATGACTACGTTGAATGGTAACACTATGATTCACCTGTAAGCAAAAGTAGGGAATCGGTACTAAAAATCTCGGATCCCTAAAGAGCGACGCCATGCCATTGGATTTGCAACATTTGTATACGTGGACATAAGGCATCAATAAGGAACAAAATAAAACCCTACGTATTTGGTAGCAATAGTCACCTATACAGCCAGCTCCATTTAAAAATGCAAAACACCCCAAAATGACCTCCTCGTATGTATTTGCAATGTGCAGAGAGTTACACTCCGTTTGTCATTTGACACTGTAATTGCACTTCAAAAATCATCCTCCAGTATGTCAAAAATCGTATTATGCATGCATATGAATGCACATGCAGCATACATATAACAGCATATACCTGCGTGGGCCCCGACGAGCTTGTTGTAAGTACATACATAACGTCTGAAGATGCTACGTGGTTCAAAAAATAAACTTAAGATCGAGTCAAGAAATGGATATGGAGTCGAGATGGTTCGAACGGTTAAACTAATATGCGGGTGCAGTATCAACTGGAATATTTGTTTATAGTTCATATTAGGCTTTCAAGGCCCATAACAAGAAAAATTCGCTCATAAAGGCATAAAGCCTTCGATGAACCCGATCCTCTGTCGGAAAGTAAACAGAATCGACAAGGTTCAATCAATGAAACAAAATGCCCATAAATTCTCCGATGGTGGTCATATTAAATGTTTACCTCAATCGGAGGTGATCATATATTTTCAAATTCTCTCAAATATTCATAAAATACTAATATTTTTAAATGACCCATATACCCCGATGATGGATGTGTCGAATGTTTATCTTAACCAGAAGAGACACTATACTTTCCAATGTTTTCAATCTTCAACAAAGTAAAAATCTTTTAAAGTGATTACAACATTACTCCGATGATGATTGGGTTGATAGAAAATCTCAACCGGAGGAGACCGCAAACATTCAAAATGTCTCCCAAATGTCCATAAAATCCAAGATTTCAAATAATCACCCAAAATCAAGATATTTAAAATTAAAAATAATCATCAAACACTTACAGAAAAATACATCTCTACCCTCCGCAACAGTTTGCCAAGGTGAACAAATCTAAAAACTACTTCAACTCATCAAGAGCTAATGTCTAGTCAAGAATATCACTAAGATTAATTCTCAATATGTTTCTTGCTAGTAGGGACATAACACATGTCCTCTACCAGTGGCTTCACCATCAAATGGCACCACATTATTGGTTTTGGAGCTAAATGGCACCACAAGTAAACTGTTATGACCGGGACCCTCTGAACTAGATGGTTTGTCGCCAAATAGTACCATTATATTACAGTTATGGCCAGAGCCCGTATACTTCCCAATGATATTAAATCCTTGAGATATGAATCAATATGATATAATTAATAGGGCACAAAATCCTCTGTTATCTAAGGTGGATTCAAATTTGTCCCTTTAGATAAAAATTCACCCTGGGTCTACAAGGTACCCTTGAACGACGCAGCCCATGGCTGCCTACAAGGATCCTTCTGTCAGGTTGGGTCGACTACCTCCTCTGACTAAGTAGACCAGGGACCATGATAGACCAGGACAACGGAACCATAGGACCTTGATCAGGCTCATCATCACTCAGCCCACCATCCACTCTAAGTGCAAGATGGTGAAATTTCAAACTTTAAATATCAAATTTTTAAATACAAAAATCCATGCTACTATTATACATCATATGTTACGTATCTGAATGATGACTAGCCTTAATCAAAATTTCTCTTCCAGTATCTGGAGGGGTAATTAACTATAGGGGCTTGCGCTTATAGGAAATGAGAACTCGGATCATAAAGTCCTTACTAAATGAGGGCGAAATCTTTGGGTAGTGTCTTATTTCAAAATCAATCTACCTTCTAAAAATTTACCCCGGAACTTAATCAGTTAAAACTCTCCCGAAAGAGCAGAGGAGGTTGGGGGGCAAATTTTCGGAGCCCACAAATTTCTGGTAACTCCATTGGGGATTGGTTTCACTTTCCATCTCTAGCTAGTCATTCATAGGTCATAATACCAACAAGTCAATACGAGCTAAATTTTTCAATTTTCTAAAATCAATCTTTAATAAGATTCATTGGAAATTCAAAAGTAGGGTAATCCTACTTAATTTACCTGCTTCTATTATTTATTTTGTGTGAGCTCTACAGTTTGAAAGAATGTGTGGGGTAATGTATCAAATTTTGATTTCTAATCCGTGTCTTTCATTTATGTAAAATGGAATGCAGGACACCCCGATCACCGTCCAACTGGAACGAGGAGCCATAATTTAGCTAGAAAATGTCGTTATCAACACTGAAAACACTTGAGCCACCATCCAATTTGGTTGTTTTGAATTCACAGTAGTTACTGCAATGGCTGCGGTCGTCCCTGTATATGCTGTAAATTTTGAAGAGCCAACCAGGAGGCCCCGTTCTGATAGGACAACTATACACCGTGTGCATCCGCCAGTGCCGTGAGCCGTTGTCAGGGATATTCCCCAAGGTAGAATTTCTGTCTTCGAAAGACTATCTCAGTCGGAAACCCCGACTGCTGGAAGAACGATTTTTGTGATAACTGCAAACACCACCACCTAGCCAATGGAACCTATAGCACTTATGAGGTATGAAGCTAGAGCTTCCTCATATGGTGGAAACCTTAATAGAAGACAGATGAGGAGAAGAAATACAAAAGTTGCGAGCTCAATAACTACCACTGTTTGTCCATCCTTCCAACTTGTCGGCCGAAGAGCCAGAGACAAATGTTCCCACTCAGAACAGGTTTGCTAATCTGAAGTGGGTAAAGAGAAACAACTCCTCCGGTGAGCTCAAAAAATCCTTCTGGGAGCGTCGACCCCAAGCTCCGACCCCTCAGAAGACAAGGGAGCCCAAACTTATGTCCGCTAAAGTGTACCGAGTTCTGCAGATGGTCAAGGAGAAATGGGGTTAATGAAGAAGAAGTTCCATAGGCCATTAGTCATTGATGCCAGGAGAAACCCTCTCAAGGGAAAGGCCATCATCTGTCATGACAGCAGAAAGAAGAGAAGAGCAACAATAAGCTCCAGTGGAAGCACATCGAGACGTGACACTTGGAGAGGGCCCCGCAGAAAGGTAAGCAAGTATGGATGCCAAAGCCTCATAAAAAGAAGATGAACGAATAAAGAATCAGACATGGCGTGACATCCGGCGTAGTTTCCCGTAGATCCGCCTCCGCCAATAAAAATCGTCAAAAGTGGGTCCAAAAGATAGCTCACGATGACAGACGCCTTGATGGTCGACACCCTGAAGAACCCTCCAGGGGATCCCGGCAAG